GTTCACTAGATTAGGATGTTTTACCACTAACCACTATGACATTTTTAATTAAGTTAGTGAATTTCCATATCATAGTAGTAGGATGGACATTTTGCTGTTTCTTGATGAGATGAATCTGTTACCTGTATAAAAAATGGCACCATGTTGTCGGATTTTGTTTATTTGATGATCCTATTCAAAATTCTGGATGATTGCCATCTGATTAGCCAAAATCAAATGATTGAATAAACTTAGCTGAAATTTAGGGGATTACAAGGGATAGAATCATAGATTAATGTTCATTAAGGGTGGCCCTAATTTGATTTCCTTCTTCTAGATAATTCATTCCAATCATCTGGATCCCTTTCCTTTCGAAATACAAACATGGGAATCATTGAAATAGTTCTTTGATTAAAAGAGTATGATTCTTATCATACATTACTCCATTGGACTCCAATGAAATTGGAAATTAAAATATTTTGATTTGAAATAGTTCAAAACGCGTTGCAGAACGATGATGTCTAATTCTATATAACTCTTAAGTCTCCACTCTGAATGCTTTGTTCAAATGTTTGTTTGCAGCATTAAAAAATAGTGGAGACAATGTATGACTTTTACGAATTAATTATGATTTATGAAATGTGATAAGATTTCAATTACTTAACTAGTTAGAAAGAGTACTCCAAAAATTATATTGATTTTGACTGACTTTGTCATTTGAAAATGTCAAAATAATCTTCAAGTCAACTCTCATTTAACACGTAAACTCAATATTAAATTCCTATAATGTTTGATTTATAATTATCTTATCTTCATTTGTCTTGTATCTATTAATTCCATCCTGTCAATTAGAGATCTAAAGAAATGGAGTCTTGCCAATTGATACTAATAGCATTCTTGTTTTTGTGTAGTCTTAGCTATGCTGATTATAGTAATGGTGATAGAGGTTCTATGTGCATGGCTGGAAAGGATAATTCTACCTGGAATAATGCAGTGCAGCACAATCTGAACAGTGTATTTAATGCCCTGGAGCGAAACGTGAATCTTCACAATGGCTTTTACACAGACACGGCTGGGGAAAAATCCGACAAGATTTTTGGCCTAATTCAATGTAGAGGCGACGTTTCTGTACCAAATTGTGCCAATTGCACACAAGAGTCGTTCAAGTTGGCAGCAGAGCACTGTGACAGAAGTAAAAGTGCAACAATATGGCAAAAATGGTGCTTTCTTCGATATTCAAATCAAAGTTTCTTTGGAGTTTGGGAAAAATCTGCAATGGCTACATATGATGATACTGATGTGGACGATCCATTTGTGGCTTCAAAAGGGCTGGCAATGATGGGGACACTCGTGTCCGGAACTCCCAAAGAGCCTCTAATGTTTGCAGTGTCGGAATTAGATGTTGGACGCAGTGGGAAGAGATACGGCATGGCACAATGCACTAGAGACTTGAGCAGGTCCGATTGTGGAAAATGTTTGGACTATCTGTTGACGAGTTTAGGGGGCCATAGAAGGGAATGGGAGGCTTACGGATTGGGTTGTAGCATGTGGTATAGTGATTATCGATTCTATTTCAACTTCTCGACCCCTAAAAATGCCGGTGAGACAAGTGCTTTATTTATTGGCTTCTCTTTCTGTTATAGCTAATAACGTAGATTATGCAATACTTTATTTCTTTAAAAAAAAAAAAATGTTCGTCAATCGTACTATCATATTATATTATACGATTTGTCTAGAAGGGTATTCTTGTTGAAGACTAAATTTAAATAATGGAATTTGTAATATTGTTGGCTGACAGGTTTAGAGCCACCCCTGAATGCAGGTCATAGACGTTGGACCGGAAGACTTGAAGTTGGAATTATCACTATTACAATGGCATTCGTAATGTTCCTCTAAGCTATTCAATATCTCCTCCTAAAGATAGAAAAATAAGAATCATTACTCCAACTCTTATTTATTTGTTCAAATTAATTATAAGCTGCGTTTTAGATTCTTGGCTTAGTCAGAATCAATTCATGTCAAGTTGTACATGACTAGATTTAGCACAGATTTCATACATGTCTGCTTTTTCTTTTTGTAGTATTATCAATAACAGTCGAACTTTCTTTCCTAGTAATGTTAATGATATCAATTGGAGAGAACAAGAGAAACGGTTTACAAGTGAGGTGATCTATTGAAACGTTTAATTTAGGATACAAGACTTCATTGGGAAACTAAAACATACCATCTCTTTGCCAACATTATTATTATTCATAGAAAATCAAGATTAACATATCAAAACAAATCAATCCAAAATCATCTTTAGATTATCATCAGATGGTTGAGAATCAGTAGAAGAAATTGGAAACAAAGTACTAATTTTCAATTTTAAATTGACGAGTGCTAAAACCCAATTTCTGTGCCTTAATTGTTGTATATATCGCTTCTTTTCCTCACCTCTCCGTTGCGTCCAGTCTTCACTCCTGGTACACTTAGCTTTGCCATTTCCCTGGGGACATCACTGAAGAACAAGTTGTTGTTTTTGGCACATTTGTTCATAATTGGTACTGTTGACCATAAAAAATACGTCAATAGAATTTCGGTCACACCTCCTCCACATACACATGACCTGCACATTGGAGCATCATGTTCGGAGGCAAAGGCTACCGAACGAGAAAAAGGTCCAGCAATCGTTTGCACTCCAACGATCAAATCAACAGTTGAACGAGAGATAATATTATGAATGCAAGAGAGGGGATTAAGGGATTTGGCCTGGGTTAGATATTTTCATCCCTTTGGTGAAAAATGAATTTACATATGTATAGGAGAAGTAGAAATGGGCCAAGTTCCAAGCCCAAGATAAGGTATTTTGATTTAATAGGCCCAATCAAATTAAAATTAAAATGTCGAGTTGGCCAACGTGGGACTCCCTCCATCACGCGCATGCCATGTAATTTACGGATATAACAATAATCTTCCAAGTTAGAGTCGTACATTTATGTTCAGGTTAAACTTTGAAATATAAGTGGTCAAATATGTCGAGTTTTACGCATTGTCTCAGAAATATAAAACTGCTCCAACAAGTGAAGATTTAAGAGCTGCCTAAAAATATTTATCAATCTAAGTAGGTGAGTACTTATGAATTACCTTGAGAATATAAATCATTCCAATATATGAGGACTTGCGAACTGTTTCAAAAATATCTATGCGAGCCCAAACAAGTGAGGGCTTATGGATTGCCTCGAAAGATTGATATCATATATAATTTGTCAAAATTTCAACAATATCTCCATTGTAATATGGACTAAACCAACCTACAACATAACATAATATCTCCACTGCACATATATAATGTAAATTGGGATCCATTCGACCCCTCCTAATACTAATGACGATAGCATAAATAATATTAAATTTCTCCAAGATAGAATATGCAGAGAATCTATCATGTATCATAGCAGATGATATGTTGTTGATAATGAAATGAAAATATAGATAGCACGACATATGTACTAGCTGCATGAAAATAATGTCATGGCATGCGTACTAGTTGAAATGTATAATGCATGTGCTAGCAATAATAATGTAATAATACTAAGATAATAGTACCACAACAGTTCCCTAATTTCAGATATGAATATTCATATAATGTGTGGACCTTTAGATAAAGATGATGCTCTGAAGATAAGTTGCCGAGGTGATGCTCTGGACGTAAGTAGCGAAAGTGAAATACTTCATTGATGAATTCATCTGAACTTTGGTCAAAGTTGGTTGAGAGCCTCTTAACTGCTATTTCCTCTCCATTAGCGAGTACACCCTAAAAAAGCATCAATCACCCTGTGAAATACTTTCATATGAACCATATGTTTGGCACATGATGATAGATAGTAATGGTTTTAAGATATTTAGTATCATTTTCAAAAGTAGTAACCTTAAAGATGCCTTCTCCGAGCTTCTTTGTATCAGAGAAGTTATTAGTAGCCTCTTTAATGGTGTTGATCTCAATAAATGGGTATTCCTTTGGATCCAAATTGTCCGTTACTCCTCTAGAACTATGGTTCCAAAATTCGAAGTTGTTATCCCATTGGTAAGTTGTTTGATCACCTGAAATTGCGATTTCCCCTAGAATAAAAATTAAAATAGTTGGAAAAGGTGAAACCATGTATCAGAAAATTATACGTTTAAATTGATAAGATCTACACTTACTGATCCAATTGAAAGGACTGGAATAATCCATTTCTTGAATGAATGCCCTGTATACAGCTTATTCAAGAACTGGTACAAGAAAAACAAAACTGCAAACTTGGAAATTCAGTGAAATGATAAGCTTGCTTGGTACAACATTCTCGTCTGTCTGTGGATTATTCAGAAAATTATACGTTTAAATTGATAAGATCTACACTTACTGATCCAATTGAAAGGACTGGAATAATCCATTTCTTGAATGAATGCCCTGTATACAGCTTATTCAAGAACTGGTACAAGAAAAACAAAACTGCAAACTTGGATATTCAGTGAAATGATAAGCTTGCTTGGTACAACATTCTCGTCTGTCTGTGGATTATTAAATTCACTTTTCTCTTCAACAAAATTGTATAGCTCAAACCTTAAAAAACAGCTACAACTAGGAAGTCTTGTTCCTCGAGAATAATATAGATCCAAAATTTCAGTTATTGCGGTCTCCAAGCTCTCTAGGCAATCATTTGGGGACAAATCTTTAGTCGACTGCACAAAGGCATATATATCAGTACTATTCGTTCAGTTTTCCTCGAAGGGTCTCCTCCTCATGGGACTGCATATCAGCAGAAGGATCAATAGCCGCAATTTTGGTAAGTTTATTTAAAGTATCATTCCCAGCAAATCTAAATCGTTTAGGGTCTGAAACATTTTTACTGTTATCCAAGGGAAGGTTTCCAGTAACATTCAACTAACCAAAGAAACACTACAGCATCATACTTGAATAAACAAAGCTTTAGAACACAGATAAAGATTGTAGACCCTATAAAGATTAGCCTGATATGGGCTATTAGTGGAGAAGTTAGCCGTATCGCAAAGCTGGAAGAGAGGATCTGGATGAGCAACATCATGAATATTAACGGATTACACAGAGTAAGACAAGAAGAAAAACATGTTTTGAAGAATCTTGGTAAAGGGCGATGTGAATATTTTTCAATGTATCTACAGAATTTGAAAACAAGCGTCTTTATTTGTGGGTCTGTTAATCGATGACTTAAAATTTCAGGATTCAGGCTGAAAATGAAATCTACATTGGATTGTATGTAGATTTTGTAGTTCAAGAAAAGATGAATTTGCAACACAATTTCCTTGCTATTACAGGACAAGATAATTTAGCGAAACTTGAAATGCCCAGTTAAGAGAATAATTCAAACAGGTTTAGTAAATTACTAAATTTAGTCTTAGAATGCATTAGACTATTATTCATTATTAATTCTATCTAATCCGTAAAATGTGTTTCCAAAACCAACGTACGCTTTTGTAAGTGAAGAAGCGTTTCTTTAAGGGTACTGTCCACTTGGCACTTACCCACTGGCTGATTTTTTTCACATGGATCTGTGTTTGTTGAAGAAAAATTTGGATAGTTGACCTAAATCAACGGGTGTGGATTAGATCCATATTATTTTTGACTCTTGGTGGGCCATTGGATAGGTTCAATGGTTTTCATTATCACTCACTTGGTTTTCTCTCTCGGTCTTTGCGATTTTGGATCTTTTCATATACTTCATCTTTTTAAATAAGACCTATGGTTAACTTGTGTATATTAGATCTTGGCCTTGTTTTATGGCCTTCGGTCTACTGTAGATTCTGATTGTAGTGTTGGTTGTATATATTGCCCTGACCGAAATGTTTTGGGGCTTTTTTGGTCGGTATTGAACTGTAAAGGGTGATACTACACTTGTGTTTGGGTCTTGTGTCGATTAGGCATAAATTATTGTGAGACTTTTGAAAGATCGATGATCTATTGTTGAGTCGGTGGTCTCTTTGTTGTATTCCAAACTTTTATTCTTTCTTGAGAGGTTCTTGCACATAATGACAGGCTTTTACCTCTGCGCTCCCAGAGTAGGCTTTGTCGAACTAGGTGACCATTTTTGTGTGTTGAGTTTACAGATTTTTGTGCTATTTGTATTGTTATATGTTTTCTACAACGTGATTTATACAGCAAGAGTACGGTATCAAATTTTATAATATAGTAAAGAAGGATGTTAAACCCACGAGTATTGTAATTCAATTTTTACTAAGTAGTATAATTATGTAACTTCAATTTTATTTAGATGAATTATTGGTTGAATGAATGTTTTAAACTAGTATAACATGATTTGTTGTGACAAAGTTGATGAATGCACATTATCAAGATGAGGAAGCCAATGGAATGATTTCATCTAACTCTCAATTATGATTCAAAGATTTCCAATTATTCTAGTTAACTTTTCTATATTTAAAAGCAAGAACTCTAATATATTTCTCTCTTCTTTCTCGAGTGTTGGCTAAAAATTACTTCTAGATTCCAACTCAAATATCTCTATTCCGAATTAAAATCAAGAATTTATCAAAGTTTTGGTTCTTTTATGGAGTAAGCTTCATAGATCTTATACTTTCTCTCGAAACCCATAAAATCTATGTTGTGTTAATCTTATGATCATACCTAAATTCCATTCTCTCGAGTGTCGAACTTGAATTCTATTGATTTTTTAGATTGCCGGCATTGCGAGGTGAAAAGATAGACTGCACATCCTTCAATATTATTTTCATAACCTTTTCTCTCGATGTTTGATTGAGGTGATTCAAGATGTGATGGGAAGACAATTCAAAGGGCTACAACTTTGCTTCATAAATCATTTTCCAATTTGATCGTTTGCTACGATGAATATGGGTCTCATTATGAGATTAAAACTCTGAAGCATAACTTTTCGGTTGAAAATTGACTTGTGATCATATTTTGACTAAATTTGACTCCTTTGACATCTTTCTTCATCCAATTGACTCCTAGCACTCTCGGATCTTTATTGGGAGGTTTAAAACAGCTTTTGGTTATTTTTATTTTAGTCCCTGAACTTTGAATCTCTTACAATTTGACCCCTTTCTCCAATTTTTACTTATTTTCTTCAATTTCA